ATGGTCACTAGACACAGCTAGTAGATGGTCACTAGACACAGCTAGTAGATGGTCACTAGACACAGCTAGTAGATGGTCACTAGACACAGCTAGTAGATGGTCACTAGACACAGCTAGTAGATGGTCACTAGACACAGCTAGTAGATGGTCACTAGACACAGCTAGTAGATGGTCACTAGACACCGCTAGTAGATGGTCACTAGACACAGCTAGTAGATGGTCATTAGACACAGCTAGTAGATGGTCATTAGACACAGCTAGTAGATGGTCACTAGACACCGCTAGTAGATGGTTATTAGACACCGCTAGTAGATGGTCACTAGACACAGCTAGTAGATGGTCATTAGACACAGCTAGTAGATGGTCACTAGACACAACTAGTAGATGGTCACTAGACACCGCTAGTAGATGGTCATTAGACACAGCTAGTAGATGGTCACTAGACACAGCTAGTAGATGGTCACTAGACACCGCTAGTAGATGGTCATTAGACACAGCTAGTAGATGGTCACTAGACACCGCTAGTAGATGGTCCACTAGACCACCGCTAGTAGAATGGTCACTAGACACAGCTAGTAGATGGTCACTAGACACAGCTAGTAGATGGTTACTAGACACAGCTAGTAGATGGTCACTAGACACCGCTAGTAGATGGTCACTAGACACCGCTAGTAGATGGTCACTAGACACAGCGAGTAGATGGTCATTAGACACAGCTAGTAGATGGTCATTAGACACAGCTAGTAGATGGTCACTAGACACAGCTAGTAGATGGTCACTAGACACAGCTAGTAGATGGTCACTAGACACAACTAGTAGATGGTCACTAGACACAGCTAGTAGATGGTCACTAGACACAGCTAGTAGATGGTCACTAGACACAGCTAGTAGATGGTCACTAGACACCGCTAGTAGATGGTCACTAGACACCGCTAGTAGATGGTCACTAGACACAGCTAGTAGATGGTCATTAGACACAGCTAGTAGATGGTTACTAGACACAGCTAGTAGATGGTCACTAGACACAGCTAGTAGATGGTCACTAGACACAGCTAGTAGATGGTCACTAGACACAGCTAGTAGATGGTCACTAGACACAGCTAGTAGATGGTCATTAGATACAGCTAGTAGATGGTCACTAGACACAGCTAGTAGATGGTCACTAGACACAGCTAGTAGATGGTCATTAGACACAGCTAGTAGATGGTCACTAGACACCGCTAGGAGATGGTCACTAGACACAGCTAGTAGATGGTCATTAGACACAGCTAGTAGATGGTCACTAGACACCGCTAGTAGATGGTCATTAGACACCGCTAGTAGATGGTCACTAGACACAGCTAGTAGATGGTCACTAGACACCGCCAGTAGATGGTCACTAGACACAGCTAGTAGATGGTCATTAGACACAGCTAGTAGATGGTCACTAGACACAGCTAGTAGATGGTCACTAGACACAGCTAGTAGATCGTCACTAGACACCGCTACTAGATGGTCACTAGACACAGCTAGTAGATGGTCACTAGACACAGCTAGTAGATGGTCACTAGACATCGCTACTAGATGTTCACTAGACACAGCTAGTAGATGGTCACTAGACACTGCTAGTAGATGGTCATTAGACACAGCTATTAGATGGTCACTAGACACAGCTAGTAGATGGTCACTAGACACAGCTAGTAGACGGTCACTAGACACCGCTAGTAGATGGTCATTAGACACAGCTAGTAGATGGTCATTAGACACCGCTAGTAGATGGTCACTAGACACAGCTAGTAGATGGTCACTAGACACAGCTAGTAGATGGTCACTAGACACAGCTAGTAGATGGTCACTAGACACCACTAGTAGATGGTCACTAGAGACAGCTAGTAGATGGTCACTAGACACCGCTAGTAGATGGTCACTAGACACAGCTAGTAGATGGTCACTAGACACAGCTAGTAGATGGTCATTAGACACCGCTAGTAGATGGTCATTAGACACTGCTAGTAGATGGTCACTAGACACAGCTAGTAGATGGTCACTAGACACAGCTAGTAGATGGTCATTAGACACCGCTAGTAGATGGTCACTAGACACAACTAGTAGATGGTCACTAGACACCGCTAGTAGATGGTCACTAGACACAGCTAGTAGATGGTCACTAGACACAGCTAGTAGATGGTCACTAGACACAGCTAGTAGATGGTCACTAGACACCGCTAGTAGATGGTCACTAGACACAGCTAGTAGATGGTCACTAGACACAGCTAGTAGATGGTCACTAGACACAGCTAGTAGATGGTCATTTAGACACCGCTAGTAGATGGTCACTAGACACAGCTAGTAGATGGTCACTAGACAGCGCTAGTAGATGGTCACTAGACACAGCTAGTAGATGGTTACTAGACACAGCTAGTAGATGGTCACTAGACACAGCTAGTAGATGGTCATTAGACACAGCTAGTAGATGGTCATTAGACACAGCTAGTAGATGGTCACTAGACACAGCTAGTAGATGGTCACTAGACACAGCTAGTAGATGGTCACTAGACACAGCTAGTAGATGGTCACTAGACACAGCTAGTAGATGGTCACTAGACACAGCTAGTAGATGGTCACTAGACACAGCTAGTAGATGGTCACTAGACACCGCTAGTAGATGGTCATTAGACACAGCTAGTAGATGGTCACTAGACACCGCTAGTAGATGGTCATTAGACACCGCTAGTAGATGGTCACTAGACACAGCTAGTAGATGGTCACTAGACACCGCCAGTAGATGGTCACTAGACACAGCTAGTAGATGGTCATTAGACACAGCTAGTAGATGGTCACTAGACACAGCTAGTAGATGGTCACTAGACACAGCTAGTAGATCGTCACTAGACACCGCTACTAGATGGTCACTAGACACAGCTAGTAGATGGTCACTAGACACAGCTAGTAGATGGTCACTAGACATCGCTACTAGATGTTCACTAGACACAGCTAGTAGATGGTCACTAGACACTGCTAGTAGATGGTCATTAGACACAGCTATTAGATGGTCACTAGACACAGCTAGTAGATGGTCACTAGACACAGCTAGTAGACGGTCACTAGACACCGCTAGTAGATGGTCATTAGACACAGCTAGTAGATGGTCATTAGACACCGCTAGTAGATGGTCACTAGACACAGCTAGTAGATGGTCACTAGACACAGCTAGTAGATGGTCACTAGACACAGCTAGTAGATGGTCACTAGACACCACTAGTAGATGGTCACTAGAGACAGCTAGTAGATGGTCACTAGACACCGCTAGTAGATGGTCACTAGACACAGCTAGTAGATGGTCACTAGACACAGCTAGTAGATGGTCATTAGACACCGCTAGTAGATGGTCATTAGACACTGCTAGTAGATGGTCACTAGACACAGCTAGTAGATGGTCACTAGACACAGCTAGTAGATGGTCATTAGACACCGCTAGTAGATGGTCACTAGACACAGCTAGTAGATGGTCACTAGACACCGCTAGTAGATGGTCACTAGACACAGCTAGTAGATGGTCACTAGACACAGCTAGTAGATGGTCACTAGACACAGCTAGTAGATGGTCACTAGACACCGCTAGTAGATGGTCACTAGACACAGCTAGTAGATGGTCACTAGACACAGCTAGTAGATGGTCACTAGACACAGCTAGTAGATGGTCATTTAGACACCGCTAGTAGATGGTCACTAGACACAGCTAGTAGATGGTCACTAGACAGCGCTAGTAGATGGTCACTAGACACAGCTAGTAGATGGTTACTAGACACAGCTAGTAGATGGTCACTAGACACAGCTAGTAGATGGTCACTAGACACCGCTAGTAGATGGTTACTAGACACAGCTAGTAGATGGTCACTAGACACAGCTAGTAGATGGTCACTAGACACAGCTAGTAGATGGTCACTAGACACAGCTAGTAGATGGTCACCTGACACAGCTAGTAGATGGTAATTAGACACCGCTAGTAGATGGTCATTTGACACCGCTAGTAGATGGTCACTAGACACAGCTAGTAGATGGTCATTAGACACAGCTAGTAGATGGTCACTAGACACAGCTAGTAGATGGTCACTAGACACCGCTATTAGATGTTCACTAGACACAGCTAGTAGATGGTCACTAGACACAGCTAGTAGATGGTCACTAGACACAGCTAGTAGATGGTCATTAGACACGGCTAGTAGATGGTCATTAGACACAGCTAGTAGATGGTCACTAGACCCAGCTAGTAGATGGTCACTAGACACAGCTAGTAGATGGTCATTAGACACAGCTAGTAGACGGTCATTAGACACCGCTAGTAGATGGTCACTAGACACAGCTAGTAGATGGTCACTAGACACAGCTAGTAGATGGTCATTAGACACAGCTAGTAGATGGTCATTAGACACCGCTAGTAGATGGTCACTAGACACAGCTAGTAGATGGTCACTAGACACAGCTAGTAGATGGTCACTAGACACTGCTAGTAGATGGTCACTAGACACAGCTAGTAGATGGTCACTAGACACAGCTAGTAGATGGTCACTAGACACAGCTAGTAGATGGTCAATAGACACAGCTAGTAGATGGTCATTAGACACCGCTAGTAGATGGTCATTAGACACCACTAGTAGATGGTCACTAGACACAGCTAGTCGATGGTCACTAGACACTGCTAGTAGATGGTCATTAGACACAGCTAGTAGATGGTCATTAGACACAGCTAGTAGATGGTCATTAGACACCGCTAGTAGATGGTAATTAGACACAGCTAGTAGATGGTCATTAGACACCGCTAGTAGATGGTCACTAGACACTGCTAGTAGATGGTCATTAGACACAGCTAGTAGATGGTCATTAGACACAGCTAGTAGATGGTCACTAGACACAGCTAGTAGATGGTCACTAGACACAGCTAGTAGATGGTCATTAGACACAGCTAGTAGATGGTCACTAGACACAGCTAGTAGATGGTCAACTGACACCGCTAGTAGATGGTCATTAGACACAGCTATGGATGGGTTGGTGGATAGATGACGATCTATCCACCAACCCATCCATCCACACATCTATCAACTCACCTGTCCATCAACTCATCCATCCACTCTTCATCTGTCCACTTATTGCCCGTTCTCACCACCGCCATCATTACCACCACGACCACCTTCACCACCACCATCACCACCACCACCATCACCATCATCGCCACAGCTGAGTCCGTTGATTCCGGGCAGCTTGAGGAGCCCGCTCTCGAAGGCCTCCCTGGGAGTCCTGGAGGACATCCTCAGGGCCAGGAGCTTCTCGTGACCCCGGGGGTGGAACCCTCCGAGAGAGCAGGCGGCGCCGGAGCCGCGCTGGAAGTAGTGGCAGAGGAGGGAGGCGCGGTTCATCGACGGGACGAAGTCGTAGGCGGTCACCTCGTCGCACAAAGTCACCATGAACATGAGGCCTGGTGGGAGAGAGACACGGGGAGATGGAGAGACACGGGGAGATAGTGAGAGAGACACGTGGAGATGAAGAGAGAGAGACACGGGGAGACTGAGAGAGAGACACGGGGAGACTGAGAGAGAGACACGGGGAGATGGAGAGAGAGATACGGGGAGACTGAGAGAGAGAGACACGGGGAGATGGAGAGAGAGACACGGAGAGATGGAGCCAGAGACACGGGGAGATGGGAAGAGAGACACGGGGAGATGGAGAGAGAGACACGGGGAGATGGGGAGAGACATGGGGAGATGGAGAGAGAGACACGGGGAGATGGAGAGACACACGGGGATAGAGACACGGGGAATTGGGGAGAGAGACACGGGGAGATGGGGAGAGACACGGGGAGATGGGGGAGAGAGACACGGGGAGATGGAGAGAGAGACACGGGGAGATGGAGAGAGAGACACGGGGAGATGGAGAGAGAGACACGGGGAGATGGAGAGAGAGACACGGGGAGATGGGGAGAGAGACACGGGGAGAGAGAGAGACACGGGGAGATGGAGACAGAGACACGGGGAGAGAGAGAGACACGGGGAGATGGAGAGAGACACGGGGAGATGGGGAGAGACACGGGGAGATGGAGAGAGAGAGACACGGGGAGATGGGGAGAGAGACACGGGGAGAGAGACATGGGGAGAGAGAGAGAGAGACACGGGGAGATGGAGAGAGAGACACAGGGAGATGGAGAGAGAGAGACACGGGGAGATGGAGAGAGAGACACTGGGAGAGAGAGAGAGACACGGGGAGATGGAGAGAGACACGGGGAGAGAGAGAGAGACACGGGGAGATGGAGAGAGAAACACGGGGAGATGGGGGAGAGAGACACGGGGAGATGGAGAGAGACACGGGGAGATGGAGAGAGAGACACGGGGAGATGGAGAGAGAGAGACACGGGGAGATGGAGAGAGAGACACGGGGAGATGGAGAGAGAGACACGGGGAGATGGAGAGAGAGACACGGGGAGATGGAGAGAGAGACACGGGGAGATGGAGAGAGAGACACGGGGAGATGGAGAGAGAGAGACACGGGGAGATGGAGAGAGAGACACGGGGAGATGGAGAGAGAGACACGGGGAGATGGAGAGAGAGACACGGAGAGATGGAGAGAGAGACACGGGAGAGAGAGAGAGACACGGGGAGATCGAGAGAGAGACACGGGGAGACGGAGAGAGAGAGACACGGGGAGATGGGGGAGAGACACGGGGGGAGATCGAGAGAGAGACACGGGGAGATGGAGAGAGAGAGACACGGGGAGATGGAGAGAGAGACACGGGGAGATGGGGGAGAGAGACACGAGGAGATGGAGAGAGAGACACGGGGAGATGGAGAGAGAGACACGGGGAGATGGAGAGAGAGACACGGGGAGATGGAGAGAGAGACACGGGGAGATGGGGGAGAGAGACACGGGGAGATGGAGAGAGAGACACGGAGAGATGGAGAGAGAGACACGGGGAGATGGAGAGAGAGACACGGGGAGACTGAGAGATAGACACGGGGAGATGGGGGAGAGAGAGACGGGGAGATGGAGAGAGAGACACGGGGAGATGGAGAGAGAGACACGGGGAGATGGGGGAGAGAGACACGGGGAGATGGAGAGAGAGACACGGGGAGATGGAGAGAGAGACACGGGGGCATGGAGAGAGACACGAGGAGATGGAGAGAGAGACACGGGGAGATGGAGAGAGAGACACGGGGAGATGGGGGAGAGAGACACGGGGAGATGGAGAGAGAGACACGGGGAGATGGAGAGAGAGACACGGGGGCATGGAGAGAGACACGAGGAGATGGAGAGAGAGACACGGGGAGATGGAGAGAGAGACACGGGGGCATGGAGAGAGAGACACGGGGAGATGGAGAGAGAGACACGGGGAGATGGGGGAGAGAGACACGGGGAGATGGAGAGAGAGACACGGGGAGATGGAGAGAGAGACACGGGGGCATGGAGAGAGACACGAGGAGATGGAGAGAGAGACACGGGGAGATGGAGAGAGAGAGACACGGGGGCATGGAGAGAGAGACACGGGGAGATGGAGAGAGAGACACGGGGAGACTGAGAGAGGCACAGGGAGACTGAGAGAGGCACTGATGCTGCCCTCAGGGCACACAGATGCCCTCAGGGTACACAGCTGCTGCCCTCAGGGTACACAGCGGCCCCCAGGGCACACAGCTGCTGCTGCTGCTGCCCCCAGGGCACACAGCTGCTGCTGCTGCTGCCCCCAGGGCACACAGCTGCTGCTGCTGCCCTCAGGGCACACGGCGGCTGCTGCCCCGAGGGCCTTACCGAGGAAGCCGGAGGATGGCGACGTCCTCCGGATTTTGGCCGTGCCCGCGTTGCGCTGCAGCAGATCCCAGAGGCCCCAGAGGAAGCACGGCGGGATGAGCGCGAAGTGCTGCCCGGGACGCCCGCGGCGCAGCGACGCGTAGAGCGAGAAGAATCGCGCATTGTTCCTGGCGTACCACTGGGGTTAGAGGGACACCGCGAGATGGGAGGAGACAGAGAGAGAGAGACACGTGTGGGTGGGTGGGTGGGTGAGTGAGTGGGTGGGTGGGTGAGTGAGTTGGGTGGGTGAGTGAGTGGGTGAGTGAGTGAGTGGGTGAGTGAGTGGGTGAGTGAGTGAGTGGGTGAGTGAGTTGGGTGGGTGGGTAGAGCGAGAAGAATCGCGCATCGTTCCTGGCGTACCACTGGGGTTAGAGGGACACCGCGAGATGGGAGGAGAGAGAGACACACGAGTGGGTGGGTGAGTGAGTAGGTGGGTGGGTGAGTGGGTGGGTGGGTGGGTGAGTTGGTGGGTGAGTGGGTGGGTGAGTGGGTGAGTGGGTGAGTGAGTGAGTGGGTGGCTGAGTGAGTGGGTGAGTGAGTGAGTGGGTGAGTGAGTTGGGTGGGTGGGTAGAGCGAGAAGAATCGCGCATCGTTCCTGGCGTACCACTGGGGTTAGAGGGACACCGCGAGATGGGAGGAGACAGAGAGAGAGACAGAGAGAGAGTAGGTGGGTGGGTGAGTGGGTGGGTGGGTGAGTGGGTGAGTGAGTGAGTGAGTGGGTGAGTGAGTTGGGTGGGTGGGTGAGTGGGTGAGTGAGTGGGTGAGTGGGTGGGTGAGTGGGTAGGTGATTGAGTGAGTGGGTGAGTGGGTGGGTGAGTGAGTGGGTGGGTAGGTGAGTGAGTGAGTGGGTGAGTGGGTGGGTGAGTGAGTGGGTGAGTGAGTGGGTGAGTGAGTGGGTGAGTGAGTGGGTGAGTGAGTTGGGTGAGTGGGTAGGTGAGTGAGTGAGTGGGTGAGTGGGTGGGTGAGTGAGTGGGTGAGTGAGTGGGTGAGTGAGTGGGTGAGTGAGTTGGGTGGGTGGGTAGAGCGAGAAGAATCGCGCATTGTTCCTGGCGTACCACTGGGGTTAGAGGGACACCGCGAGATGGGAGGAGAGAGAGAGACACAAGAGTGGGTGGGTGGGTGGGTGAGTTGGTGGGTGAGTGGGTGAGTGGGTGCGTGAGTGGGTGGGTGAGTGGGTGGGTGAGTGGGTGAGTGAGTTGGGTGGGTGAGTGGGTGAGTGGGTGGGTGAGTGAGTGGGTGAGTGAGTGGGTGAGTGGGTGAGTGGGTGAGTGAGTTGGGTGAGTGAGTGAGTGAGTGGGTGAGTGAGTGGGTGGGTGAGTGAGTGAGTGAGTTTGGTGAGTGAGTTGGGTGGGTGAGTGAGTGGGTGAGTGGGTGAGTGAGTTGGGTGGGTGGGTGAGTGAGTTGGGTGGGTGAGTGGGTGGGTGGGTGAGTGGGTGAGTGAGTGGGTGAGTGAGTTGGGTGGGTGAGTTGGTGGGTGAGTTGGTGGGTGAGTTGGTGGGTGAGTTGGGTGGGTGGGTGAGTAGGTGGGTGAGTGAGTGAGTGGGTGGGTGAGTGGGTGGGTGGGTAGAGCGAGAAGAATCGCGCATTGTTCCTGGCGTACCACTGGGGTTAGAGGGACACCGCGAGATGGGAGGAGACAGAGAGAGAGAGACAGAGAGAGAGTAGGTGGGTGGGTGAGTGGGTGGGTGGGTGAGTGGGTGAGTGGGTGAGTGAGTGAGTGAGTGGGTGAGTGAGTTGGGTGGGTGGGTGAGTGGGTGAGTGAGTGGGTGAGTGGGTGAGTGAGTTGGGTGGGTGGGTGAGTGGGTGAGTGAGTGGGTGAGTGGGTGGGTGAGTGGGTAGGTGAGTGAGTGAGTGGGTGAGTGGGTGGGTGAGTGAGTGGGTGAGTGAGTGGGTGAGTGAGTGGGTGAGTGAGTGGGTGAGTGAGTTGGGTGGGTGGGTAGAGCGAGAAGAATCGCGCATCGTTCCTGGCGTAGCACTGGGGTTAGAGGGACATCGCGAGATGGGAGGAGACAGAGAGAGACACGAGTGAGTGGGTGAGTGGGTGAGTGAGTGAGTGAGTGGGTGGGTGAGTGAGTGGGTGGGTGGGTGAGTGGGTGAGTGAGTGAGTGAGTTGGTGAGTGAGTGGGTGAGTGAGTTGGGTGAGTGGGTGAGTGAGTGGGTGAGTGGGTGAGTGAGTGGGTGAGTGAGTGAGTGGGTGGGTGAGTGAGTGAGTGAGTGGGCGGGTGAGTGGGTGGGTGAGTGGGTGAGTGAGTGGGTGGGTGGGTGGGTGAGTGGGTGGGTGAGTGGGTGGGTGAGTGGGTGAGTGAGTGGGTGGGTGGGTGGGTGAGTGGGTGGGTGAGTGGGTGAGTGAGTGGGTGGGTGGGTGGGTGAGTGGGTGGGTGAGTGGGTGAGTGAGTGGGTGGGTGGGTGGGTGAGTGAGTGGGTGGGTGGGTAGAGCGAGAAGAATCGCGCATCGTTCCTGGCGTACCACTGGGGTTAGAGGGACACCGGGAGATGGGAGGAGAGAGAGAGAGAGAGACACGAGTGGGTGGGTGGGTGGGTGAGTGAGTTGGGTGGGTGGGTGGGTGGGTGAGTGGGTGGGTGGGTGGGTGATTGGGTGAGTGGGTGGGTGGGTGAGTGGGTGAGTGAGTGAGTGGGTGAGTGAGTGGGTGGGTGAGTGGGTGAGTGGGTGGGTTAGTGGGTGAGTGGGTGAGTGGGTGGGTGAGTGGGTGGGTGGGTGAGTGGGTGAGTGAGTGGGTGAGTGTGTGAGTTGGTGGGTGAGTGGGTGAGTGAGTGGGTGAGTGTGTGAGTGAGTTGGTGGGTGAGTGGGTGAGTGGGTGAGTGGGTGAGTGAGTGGGTGAGTGGGTAGGTGAGTGGGTGAGTGAGTGGGTGAGTGAGTTGGTGGGTGAGTGGGTGAGTGAGTGAATGGGTGAGTGGGTGGGTGAGTGGGTGGGTGAGTGGGTGAGTGTGTGAGTGAGTTGATGGGTGAGTGGGTGAGTGAGTGGGTGAGTGTGTGAGTGAGTGGGTGAGTGAGTTGGTGGGTGAGTGAGTGAATGGGTGAGTGGGTGGGTGAGTGGGTGGGTGAGTGGGTGAGTGTGTGAGTGAGTGGGTGGTTGGGTGAGTGAGTGGGTGAGTGTACCGTAGTGATGTTACAGGGCCGAGGTGGAGTTTCCCACAGCACGAGGGACACGTTGCGGTAGAGGGGACTGGAGCTGAATTTGTACTTCCTCTGAGTCACGATCTGGGGTCACGGGGAGGTCAAAGTGGGAGGGGGAGGTCAAAGTGGGAGGGGGGGTGAATCTTTGGAAGAAAAGTTGAGTGGGTGAGTGAGTTGGTGAGTGAGATGGGGAGTTGAGTGAGTTGATGAGTGAGTTGGTGGATGAGTAGGTGAGTGAGTTGGTGGGTGAGTGAGTTGGTGGGTGAGTTGGTGAGTGAGTAGGTGAGTGAGTTGGTGGGTGAGTAGCTGAGTGAGTTGGTGAGTTGGTGGGTGAGTGAGTTGGTGAGTGAGTAGCTGAGTGTGTTGGTGAGTGAGTTGGTGGATGAGTGAGTTGGTGAGTGAGTTGGTGAATGTGTTGGTGAGTGAGTTGGTGGGTGAGTGAGTAGCTGAGTGAGTGGGTGAGTGAGTGGGTGAGTGAGTTGGTGGGTGAATAGGTGAGTGAGTTGTTGGGTGAATAGCTGAGTGAGTTGGTGAGTTGGTGGGTGAGTTAGTGAGTGAGTTGGTGAGTGAGTAGCTGAGTGTGTTGGTGAGTGAGTTGGTGGGTGAGTGAGTAGGTGAGTGCGTAGGTGAGTGAATAGGTGAATGAGTTGGTGAGTGAGTTGGTGAGTTAGTTTGTGAGTGAGTAGCTGAGTGAGTAGCTGAGTGAGTGGGTGAGTGAGTGGGTGAGTGAGTAGTTGAGAGTAGCTTAGTGGGTGAGTGAGTAGCTGAGTGAGTGGGTGAGTCTGTTGGTGAGTGAGTGGGTGAGTGAGTGGGTGATTGAGTTGGTGAGTGAGTTGGTGAGTGAATGGGTGAGTGAGTGGGTGAGTGGGTGAATGAGTAGGTGAGTGAGTGGGTGAGTGTGTGGGTGAGTGAGTAGCTGAGTGAGTAGCTTAGTGAGTAGCTGAGTGAGTAGCTGAGTGAGTGGGTGAGTGAGTAGCTGAGTGAGTAGCTAAATGAGTTGGTGAGTGAGTAGGTGAGTCACTCACCTTGGTGTTGATGAGTCGGATCGTCGTTTTGCTCCCCACGTGGCGTTCAAAGCCGGCGGTTGGCGCCGCGTTGAACCTCATCACCGCATCGTGCGAATCTGCACCACCACCACAACCACCACAACTACCACCAGAACTACCAAAATCACTACAACCACCACAACCACCACCACCACAACCACCACAACTACCACCATCACTACAACCAACACTACAGCCACTGCCAACACAACCACCACAACCACCACAACTACCACCACCACTACAACCACCACCACCACAACCACCACAACCACCACAACCACTACAACTAGCACCACCACTACAACCACCACAACTACCACCACCACTACAGCCACTCCCAACACAACCATCACTACAACCACCACAACCACCACCACCACTACAACCACCACAACCACCACAACCACCACCACCACTACAACCACCACCACTAAAACAACCACCAGAACCACCACCAATACAACCACCAACAATCTCCATTCGCCACTAAGTGGCGGTTACGTCACAACGACAATTGTGCCAGGCTAGGTGCACGTTGAGGCCACGTGAAGTGTCGAACGCCCGCTGGCAGGAGGTCACGGGGCAGACCCAGGTGCCACGAGTCGACTGACTGAGATGACTGGCTGATGCACCACCTGTGCCCCCTACTGTGCCAACCTGCTGTGCTTTAGCCACCCGGCGCTCCGCTCGTTGTTGTGAGCGTCGCTTCTCCGCCCTCCGTTGTTGTTGGAGGGCGACTGCCTCCAACTGCCCAGTAGCGTCCTTCACGAGCCTCCTCCACAGAGGCCGATCTTGACACCGCTGGTACCGGTCATCGCCAAGTCCACTCAGCTCCACGTCCTCCTGTACCACATCACTCCATCTCTTCTCTAGCCCGTGCCTCGTCCGTTTAGCCCCCTCGATCCGGCCGAACAAAAGCTGTTTCGGCATGCGGTGGCTGGGCATGCGGGCTACATGACCCAGCCAACGCAGCCTTGCCTGCCGGAGGAGCTCACCGATGGGACCTTGCCCAGATCTTTCAAGGATTTGTGAGCTCCTCACACAATCCAGCCCGGTTAAACCCAGGATGGATCGTAGGCAGGCCAGCCTAAATGTTTCTAACCGGCGAAGATGTTCCATTAAGGGGGTCCACGTTTCGCAAGCGTAGAGTAAAGGGAGGGAATGACCGTGGCCGAGAAGACCTGAAGCTTAGTGCGGAGCGACAGACCAGGTAGCTTCCACACAGTGTTACGCAACCTATGAAAAGATTTTGCCGCTCGACTGATTCGAAGTGAGACCTCTGCTGTTAAACTGGAGCCAGTCATAAGCACACTGCCCAGGTATGGGAAACTCTCCACTCTCTCCACAACTGCCCCATCACCGATTGGGAGTTGTGGGGGGTGGAGTGTCCGATGGTACAAAATACCCAGGCAGGTGCTTAGTTTTGGTGAGGCTGATGGTAAGGCCCCACCTCTTAGTGGTACGCTCCAGTCTCAGCAGCAGCGTCTCCAACTCCTCCTCTGAATGAGCGGCTATTACCAAATCATCAGCATACATAACGTGGTTGAGCAATAGGGAGCCATCCCTTGACCGCACCCGGGCATCGATCAGCCTATACTCTTTGGTTCTATTGGGTAAAGTCACGTAGGTGAAAATAAAATAACAAAAAATCTCGACGTTTCGGCCACAACACAAGCGGCCTTCATCAGGTGAAGGGACGAGAAAGAAAGAGAGAAGAAAAAGACCACGCGCCTTGACAAAGGAATTAGCATATAATTTAGCATTGAAATGGCTCATTGAAATAGTTAAGTTAAAGTATACACATCCGCAGAGGTACCCCTCCATACAGAAACAACCACTTGATACTCCGGTCAAAACCATCACACTACCATATATAGCATGCGTTACTAAAATGATTTCCAAAATTCTAAACAAACACAAGATCCAGGTCCGGTTCAATACAGTACACAAAATTCGTGATCTGATCCCATCCGTGAAGGATGTCATTCCTGACTTACAGTACCCCGGGGTTTACAAATTGATCTGCATCTGTGGTGACTGCTACATCGGTGAGACAAAGCGACATGTTTCTGACCGAATTCGCGAGCACAAATCAGATTTGAAACACGGCAAAACGAATTTTTCTGCCGTGGCTGATCACTGTTACAATGCTGTGGGGGATCACGATATAATTTTCTCCGATACCAAGGTTCTTTGCAAACCCACGGGCTTTTATCAGAGATTTGTTCACGAGGCAATTCAGAACTACAAACTCAGACACAATTTCAACCGAGTAGATGGTTTCAAATTAAGCAACCATTGGAAAGATGTTCTAAATCGAACTGAACATTAAATTAATTTCAATGGTACAGTATATTTTTCAAGTAGTGGTACCCCAGACTTTCGCAGCTCTTATAAATTCCCCCTTTTCACACCATCAATAGGTAAACTCCCCCCTCCCCCCTTCCCCCCCCCCGCGCCAAACTGCGAGTCCACCGGCACGTACACCACCTCTTTCCTAAAATCCGCCAATCAAATGCTAATTTTTATGCTAATTTCTTTGACAGAACACCTTGTTTGCTCGCACACAGGTCCGATGTCTGAGCGTGGTTGTGTTTCGCTGAATTCTCCTGTTTGATGAGTACTAGGTGCCTCGGTGAATGTATATGTTCTGACTTTAACATAGCTATTTCTGTGACCAGTTAGAAGCTAATCACTCAGCTATTTCAATGCTAAATTCGATGCTAATTCCTTTGTCAAGGGGTACCTCTGCGGATGTGTATACTTTAACTTAGCTATTTCAATGAGCCATTTCAATGCTAAATTCTATGCTAATTCCTTTGTCAAGGCGCGTGGTCTTTTTCTTCTCACACAGCTTAAAGGTCGTGATCTAAGCGTGGCTTCTTCCACTCCAGCGCTGTCCTCCAGACAGTCTAGTCCCTTCACCTGATGATTTTTGTTATTTTATTTTCACCTACGTGACTTTACCCAATAGAACCAAAGAGTATGGATCCTAGCAGTCACGAAAGCTTTAAATCTAGAATCGATCAGCCTCCCATTATATCTGTACCAAATAGAGATTCCCCCAGTACAGCTATTGAAGGCTTCATGGACTACGTGGTCAAAATAGATGTTTAATAATGTGGGAGCCAGAGGACATCCCTGTCGCACCCCAAGGTGTACAGGGAATGGCTCTGACTCCCGGCCACGTAGTTTTACCCGGGCCCGCTCACCATCATGAAGGTCCTTAATGATCGTGAGCAGGGGGTCAGGGACTCCAAAAGCACGAAGAGCAACCCAGAGCCCAGGCCTACTGATGGTATCATAGGCCTTGACCACGTCAATCAGTAAGCGTTCAAACATTCCACGTGGCCACACGAAGTGGCTTTTCGTTGTTTCTGGAGGAGCCCCGAGGGTAGAGATTCTATCTCCTGGCTCCGCCAAATGGGGTTTGGCCAGGAGACGTCATAGACGCTTGACCCCCCGGGGTCTCCGGCACAAGCTTATTAGTTAGATATTTTAGGCGTGGTTTCGTGGAGGGGTTACAAGCCCCTCGCACCTGTCCAGAGCCCCCGTTTAGTCACTGTGGTGGTCACAGACGCCATGAGGGGAGAGGGCCAATCGGAATTGTCCCTCTCCCCACAGCACTGTCCACGACAGTGTTGCCCGTCCGGCACCGCGAGAAGGTAGGGGGTTGTTTTGCTGGACACACACACACCCACTAACTCACACACCCATACACTCACTCACCCACCCATACACCCACTCACCCACCCATACACTCACTCACTCACCCGCTCACTTACTCACACACCCATTAACTCACACACTCACTCACCCACCCATACACCCACTCACCCACACACCCACTAACTCACACACTCACACACTCACTCACCCACCCATACACCCACTCACCCACCCATACACTCACTCACTCACCCGCTCACTTACTCACACACCCATTAACTCACACACTCACTCACCCACCCATACACCCACTCACCCACACACCCACTAACTCACACACTCACACACTCACTCACCCACCCATACACTCACTCACCCGCTCACTCACACACCCACACACTCACACACCCACTCACCCACCCATACACCCACTCACCCAACCATACACCCACTCACTCACTCACCCGCTCACTTACTCGCACACCCATTAACTCACACACTCACTCACCCACCCATACACCCACTCACCCACACACCCACTAACTCACACACTCACACACTCACTCACCCACCCATACACTCACTCACCCGCTCACTCACACACCCACACACTCACACACCCACTCACCCACCCATACACCCACTCACCCAACCATACACCCACTCACTCACTCACCCGCTCACTTACTCGCACACCCATTAACTCACACACTCAGTCACCCACCCATACACCCACTCACCCACACACACACTAACTCACACACCCACACACTCACTCACCCACCCATACACCCACTCACTCACTCACCCGCTCACTTACTCGCACATCCATTAACTCACACACTCACTCACCCACCCGCTCACTCACGCACCCACACACCCACTAACTCACACACCCACACACTCACTCACCCACCCATACACCCACTCATCCACCCACACACTCACCCGCTCACTCACTCACCCACACACCCACTAACTCACACACCCACACACTCACTCACCCACCCATACACCCACTCATCCACCCACACACTCACCCGCTCACTCACTCACCCACACACCCACTAACTCAC